CTTTATATTCTATTTATAACTAAACAGGCAGATGTTTGGGGAGCGGGCTGTATAATAGCCGAAATGTTCACCCGAAAACCAATATTCGACGGCAACGACAGGATAGCGCAGATGACGAAAATAACAGCCATGTGTGGCACACCCTCCGAAAGGAATTGGGAGGTATGAACCCGATTTTTCACACCGAGGCAACTTTTATTTTTGGGTTCCAGTTTGTATCAGAATTTGTCTATGCGAAACGAGTACCCATTTGTTTTGAAAACTAAAGACAAATTCAATAATATGTACATTGCATGATCTATACAGGGCGTCTCAAAGCTGCCAGATTTCAATAAGTTCAAGTTTTATAGCCAGCAGCGGGACATTAAAAGGCTTCTGCCAAGGTAGGTAGGCGTTCTAAAGATAATTCGATACCATGAAGGGAGTCGGTGTTCTAAGAATAGTTTCACAACAATACAGATAGACACTCGAAAATAGTACCTCCCAAGATAGGAAGGCACCCTATAAATAGTTTCTCATTCAAATAGGTAGCCGATTTATAAATGGTTCATCATAAAGGTAGATAGGAGCTTTATGAATAGTTTCTCACTAAGGTAGGTGCGCGTTCTATAAATAGCTACTCTTCGAGGTAGGTAAGCCTTCTATATCAGTTTAGAATCGAAGTATGTAGGCGCCCTCCTGTAAGTAGTTCCTCAAGATTGTAGGTAGACACTCAGGATCATTCTGTAAATATTTACTCATTGTGTGGAATGTCAACTCGCTTCGTTGATGCGCATAGCACATGTTCTATTCTTTGAGTACTGTACGTTAATTTCTGGTGCGCAACAGATTCGTGTTTGTGGGTAGGCAGGATCATATATTCCGGCCTATACTTACATATACTCAATATACATATATATATATATATATGTGTGTGTGTGTGTGTGTGTGTTACCGATATGCTTGTATAATCAGACATAAACGCATATACTCATGTATACATATATATATATATTTATCGGTTACCGACCAAGTGCAGCGATATACTATGACGGACCAGGTTCGTTCTATATTTAGACCAAGTTCATTCTATATTTAGACCAGGCTCATTTTTCATTTAGACCAGGCGCTGTCTATATTTAGACCTGCACGGCCTGGATATGCGATAATCACATTCACCTAATCGGAGGTAGGACCATCCAGGCTTGTACATGCTAACCACCCCAATTGTCGCACTCTCTTTTCAGGATGAGTAAGATGCGCATACCCGAGAACGGCATAAATCTGCTCGACAAATTATTAATTCTCAATCCCGCGGATCGTATCGATGCCGAGATGGCCTTGGACCACGATTTCTTCTGGACGGAACCTTTCCCAACTGCACCAGCACAGTACGTTGTGTTATTGTACACCCGGCTTAGTGTATCACATTGCAAGTTCATTTTGATCTTCCTGGTAGTGAGTCGGGTGTGTTTGGTGGTCGCCTTTGGCAGCCAGTGGGTTTCGTTTGTACACTGAATGGTCTGTATTTCCTCAAGAGAATGTGTTTGAAACACGCAGTAGGGGGCTTGGGTGCAGGGGTTTTTTTTGGCATAGAAAATCGGTTTATCACGCTATAGGCTTGCTGTGTATCGACTCGAGGATAGAGAGACGGATGAATATCCTGAGTGTGCTATATTTTAGTACGTACACATATATATGCGTGTGTCTGTGGTATATTTTAGTACATACACATGTCCGCATATGTACGTGTGTGTGATGTATATTTACATACACATGTATGTATATATGTGTTTGTGATATATTACAAATGTATGTATATATCCGTGTGTGCCGGATATATTTTAGCATATACACGTGTATGTATATATATAGGTGTTCTGTAGGATATATTTTAGTATATATACGTGCGTGTGCGGTATATTCTAGGACTTACACATGTATGTATATATACGTGTGTGAAATATATTTTAATACACACAAATTCATGTATGATACATACCCCCCACCGTCCCTATACTCCGTACATAGACATATGTATATGTATTAAATTATATATGAAATACTATACGGAAAATGTATATATAATATCCAGTGCAAGCGACATGGATAGCAATGTACTAATACTCTATATACATACTCAATGTTTGTATGTGCAATCTTTTATTAAGCTCAGAATCCACTCTTGGACATTTATCAGAATTTGCTCTATACCGATGGACATGGTATGGACGTCAGGAGAACGCGTGGGAAGGGTGAAATATCTATCACGAACCGACCCATGAATATATCTATATTTATTAATATACC